CACACACACACACACACACACACACACACACACACACACACACACACACACATCCCGACAAAGAAACTCACTCCACACGCTCGAATTCTGCCTCCCTATTCGAAAGAGATCAGGTGGATCGATTCCCTTTCTTCCAGCTCCGGCCAGAAAAATTTCTCTTCTCTTCCCCGCCCCACCTCCAGTCAAAAATCTCGCTCCTTTTTCAGTGTTTTTCGTGAGGGTCCTGATTTCTGCGCCATCTGAGGGAAACGGGTTTTTTTTTTAAAGGAAAAAAGGAAAGGAAAAAAAAACTGGGGAGAAAAACCTTTCCTCGAATGTCTCCTAAAGAAGGAAAGAAAGAAGGAAAAAAGGAGGGCGGGAAGCTCGAAACAATTTTTTTTGCCTTCCCGCTTCCCCTCTCCCCCCCTTTCTTAAAAATGTTCCGATTTCCCCCCTTTGGAAAGGAAATGATTTGGTAAGAACGTCCGTTCCGTTTCCTGATCCGACTTCTGGACGCGTCCGGCGCATTTCAACGTCACGCTTCATATCTATATTATATAAATTTATTGTACGATATAATTCACGAATTATAATTTACAAATTATAATAAAAGGGAGCTTATCCGCTGAAGGAAGGGTCCGATCCAAAGGGGAGACGCCGCTCCGCGAGAAAGAACGAGGCGAACGGCGCTTCGCTTCTCCACATTTTGCCCGGCTCGGGGCTTAAAAATCTGGTTGGATTCGGATCCAGTTTCTAGAGAAAGGCTATTTTGGATGGCTGAAGTTCACTGGGGGAGGGGGAATTATTATTATTATTTTTGAAAAAGATTGTTTTCTTCAACCTGGGTAGAAGTTCGTTTTTTTTTCCCCCACTCCCCGGCTTCCCTGCGTCTAAACGGAAAAAAAAACCCCAAGTCTGGCGGAAAAAAAATATATTTGATTCAGTTTTAAAATAAAATAAAATAATAAAATAATCCCGGTGGTATCTTTTGGCTCGTTCGCTCTCCAGGCTCTAATCCGGGAATCATATAAAACAATCCTCAAAAACTATAGAAGTCGAGATCCAGGTTCTTTATTTACACACACACACACACACACCAAACCCCCCAAGCATCCGTTTCCTTTACCTGAAATTTAAAATAAAATAAAATTAATCTATACATTAAAAAAAAAAAAGCCACCCGCATCTTAACTACATCCGCAGGCTTTTTTTTTTTTGGGGGGGGGGGGGGGGGGGAAGAGAAGAGAAATCTAAGGGAAAGAAAACTGGGGCTCCAAGAATTCGGGATAGTCCTTAGAGCCCGTTTACATGTGCAAAGATGGCTTAACCTCCACCTATTCATATGCCGACGCCTGGGGCCCAAACACCCGCGGGCCAAAGCCGTTCCTCCCCCTCCCCTTGTTTTCCTCCCCCCCCCGCTCCCCTTCCACACCCAACCTTCGTGCTCCTCACCCTTTTCAAACGGGGAGGTGCTTTGCCCACAATGGCAGTCGAAAAACGCAAAAGGCAGGGCCGGCTTTGCATTTTTTTTTTTAAAAAAATGGGTTTTTAATTGTGGATTGCGGGCCGTCGGTCGGGCGTTAAGGGGGTTTGTCTCCCCCCCAAAAAATACCAGAAAGAAAAATGCGGGTGGGCTACTACATTCGCCCCCTCCTGGCTTCTGTGCGACGTGGGGGGTGTGGGGGGGGGATGGCGGGTGGGATAGGGAGGAAGGGAGCGGCCGATTTATCATCTCCTCCTCCCCCCCCCCCCCCCCCCCCCGGCACGCACACACCCCTCGGCTGCTGTTGGCAAAACAAAACGCATATTTAGGTAAGAAAAGGGCAGCTCGCCATCCCAGCCGTCCCCTTCAATTAGGACGTGGGCCTTCATTACCATGTCGATATCAGGGTCTCCCCCCCCCCGCGCCCGCGCCCGCCCCCGCCCCCGCCCCCCCGCCCCACTCCAGCCGCCGCTTGAAAACTCCAGAGACCCTCTTTACAAGGGGGGGTGGGGGGAGAAGAGGAGGGAGGGAAGAAGCGCGCTTTAAAAAAATAAAATACAATAATACAACCAAATCGCAGTCTTCCCCCCCCCCAAAAAAAAAACACCCCCCCGCCCTTAAAGATCTGTAGAAGTTGGTACGGGAGAAGAAAAGCTCCTTTAAATCCTAAAAAACCCTCCATCCTTAGGGTTGGAGGTCTGGGCGCTTCTTGACGAAGGAGTCCCGATTCGAATGAAAGACATGTCTTTTTTTGGGGGGGGGGCGGGTGTTGTTCAAAACCCCAACAGTTTTGGGCCTGCGTGCAATGCTTACCCCCTTGCAAGAAGAGCCAGGATGGGAAGGATTTGCGAGCGGGTGATAAGCCAGGCAGGTGAGACACAGAGTCAATGGCCCGACGGCGGTAAGTATTGGGGGGCGGGGGGGGGCATCCAGGCCCTTTAATTATTGTCTCCCCCCTCCCCTCTCCCCCCCCCCCCCCGTTAAATTAAGAGCTTCGGCTGCTCTTAAGGATCCCCCCACCCGAGCCTTGAGGGGTGATGGGCGGACAAGAAACCTTGGCCAGAGGAAAACCACCCAGCTCCGTTTCAGGCTGCGCGCCCCTCCGAAGGAAAAAGAGGCCGGTGGGGCAGAGACAGCCTCTCGCCGGCCACGGGGGCCGGGAAATAGGGCGTTGGGGTGGGGGTGGGGGACGAAGGAGGAGGGAACGGTGTTCTCTGCCTTTCGTTGCCTTTCGCTTTGGCAAAACCTCGCCGTCCCGGTGGGCGAGTGGAAAGAGAGATTCGCGGAGAGGCGCCTGGCCAGCCGACGTTTAATTTAATCTGTGCCATCAAGTAACTTAGTACTAATGGTATAAAGAGACAAAACCGGCCATCTCTCTCTCTCTCTCTCTCTCTCTCTCTTCTCTCCTTCCTTCCCCCCCTCTCCCTCTCCCTCCCTTTCTTTCTCTCCCTCTCCTTCCTTCTCTCTCCCTTTTTCTCTCCCTTTCCCTCCTTCCCTCTCTCCCTCTTTCTTTCTCTCCCTCTCCTTCCTTCTCTCTTTCTCTCCCCCTTCCTTCCCTCCCTCTCCCTCCTTCCCCCTCTCTCCCTCTTTCCCTCTCTCCGTTTCTTTCTCTCCCTCTTTCTCTCTCCCTCCTTCCTTCTCTCCCTCTTTCTTTCTCTCCCTCTCCTACCTTCTCTCTCTCCCCCTTTCTCTCTTCATCCCTTTCTCCTTCTCTCGCTTGGTCATGGCAAACCAGAGACATCGGATAAGCCCACGCGGTGCGATCCAAGGGAATGTACGCCTTCCTAAGCCAGGTTAGCGCGGTAAGCCCCAGCGAACCACCTGAGAAACGAGCCAAATTCCTTCATGTTTCCCACCCCCCAGGTAAATTCCCTTTCTTTCTTTCTTTCTTTTTCTTTCTTTTTTTCTCTCAAACGCCTCCCTCCCCCCCGCCCCACGAGCCCCTCCATACGCCATCGCGGTCCATTTTGCTACCCAGACAGCTGCCTCCGACCTTCACCGTTGGGGTAAGGGATCAGGCCACAGCCTCGAAGGAGGCAGGCAAGGCATTTCCAGCTCGTCAGGAGGTAAACCGAGGCACGGGGAGGGAAGGGTGTCAGCGGCGGGAGGGAGTAAGAAGCAACCCAGCCAGGTGCAAATTTGGGGGAGGGGGGGAGCGCCCGAGAAGATCGGGGGTGGGGGGTGGGGCGAGGGAAGAGAAGGGCCCCTCACCTGAAAAAGTCGTTCTTGCAATAGAGCTTGCCTTCCCGCGAGAAGCATTTCTCGGTGAGGTTACATTTGCACTCGCAACATTGGACGCATTTGATGTGCCAGGCCCGATCCAGGACGTTGAGCAAGAAGCGGTCCAGGATGGGCCGCTCGCACCCGGCGCAATGCACCATCATCGCCGCGGCCGGACAGGGGGAATGGCTGCGCCTCCCAGCCGCTCCGCTGCGCCGCCCGCGGCCGTCGCTGCCTCCTCCTCCTCCTCCTCCTCTTCCTCCTCTCCCTCTGGGCGCGCTGGGGCTTCCTCGGCTTCGCCCCCCTGGCTCCTCGGCCTCTCTCCTAGGCCGGGACTGGCTTCCCGGACGGCTTCAGCGCGGCATACCAACCCGGGCGTCCCCGGGGGCGGCGGGGCTGGGAGGTGTCTGGCAAGGCCCAGGCGCGGCGGTGGTCCTCGGCCGGTCCCCTCCTTCGCCGGCGCGCCGCTGGCTGGCCGGGACTCGATCCCACTTTTGCGCTGCTCCCATCGCCCAGCTTTGTCTTGAGGCTTTAGTAATTCGCGCACCCTTATTCAGATTTGGTGACGTGGGGCGCCACGTCGGGCGGGCGGCGGCCAATGGCGAGCCGGTGGCCATGGCAACCTCTTAATTTATAGCATATCTAAATTGGCTCCAGCCTGGCGCTTGGCACAGAGGGGGGAAAAAGAAGGCAGCTCCATTGTGGTGGGGCGAGATTCGCACCTGACGCGCCGAGGTACTCCGTGAGTAGTTTTTGCCTGCCGACCTGGGAGCGCTGGCGGGGCCGGGCGGGGGCGCAACTCGGTTAGGCCGGCCAGGCGGGTGGGAAGATGGACTCGGGGGAAAGGGGGGGGGCGTCCCGCCTCTTCTCCCCCCCCCAAAGAAACCCTCCTGCCCCTTTCGTCGAAAATATCTCTCAAAACATCAGGTGGAAGAACGGAGGCTGTGGGGGTCTCCGCTCATCCACCGAGGGGGTGTGCGTGCGGGTGCTTCGCTCCGGCTTGCCTCCGCGGACGCAGGACTGGCGTGTGGCTCGCCCGTGGCGCGCTTAGAGCAAAAAACCTGAAAACTTTGCTTTCTCCCTCCTGGCCGCGGGCCTGCTTGGGGTGGGTGCACGCGAAGAGTGTGAATGGGAATGTGGCGCGGAGAAAGGACGAAAGGAACCGGATTTGGAGATTCCCTTTAATTGAATTCCCGCCTTCCCCTCCAAAAAAAGCACGTCCGGGTGTCCAAAGAGAAGGGGCGCGCGATAATTCCCCCTCTATCCTAAATTCTGGTGGTTTCCCTAATTCCCGACCTCGGGAATTGGAAAGGCGCGCCAGGGCAGAAGTGTAGGAAAAGTAAGGAAGAGGAGAGAGAGGCAGAGAGAGAGGGGGGGGGAGGGAGGGAGAGAGAGAGAGAGAGAGAGAGAGAGAGAGAGAGAGAGAGAGAGAAAGAAAGAAAGAAAGAAAGAAAGAAAGAAAGAAAGAAAGAAAGA